TTTTATACATGAGATTAATTTACTTACATTTCGAATGTGAAGTACTTCCTTCGAAACCCTATGTAAACCATGAACTGCGCATGTCAGATGTATCGTATTTTATCAACACGATTTTAGTTTTTTTCCTGCTTTGATTACATATTATTATGGAATAATTTTTAATAGTTCCGCCGAGTGAGAGTGTATTGAATTTGCCTATTCGTCTACAACGGTCTGCTATATCTTTCTCTGTGTTTCAAATATTCGAATTATGGCAATCGTCTGTGTAATTGTTTAACATAAGGAAAAATACGTTATAATTTAATTTATGATATTTCCTAATCAGAATTGCAGCCTAAATTAGCTATTGTAAAACGCTTGGCGTGAAAACGCGTAGCATGATGAAAAAGCACGGTCCAAAATTTCAAAGGCTTATAGCACTCACCGAAACGAGTAAAAAATGTTTAATCAACATAGGTCTTTACAATTATTCTACAATTATCCTCGTCGATGTAAAACTGACTTTTATTACTTACGAACATTCGATCAGGTAAGAGTTTCTTCCAGAAATCGTAACTGTTATAATCAAAAAGAAACCAAGTTATACTATAGCGATCATATTTTTTTACAAGTAATTTTAATTATAAATAATCATTATAAATGATTAAAGTTTTTGTTGACTATCTATAATCATTATAAATAATGGAAATCACTTTTGACCACTGTGGCAACCCAATAGTTGGCACACTCTCCGCCAGATTGTAGGTAAGGATTCTAGGTAAGTAATTCTACGATTGAGGTTCCCGCAAATGACTCGATGAACTCCCTGCGTCCTAAACATAGAAGTTCTTGATTTCCCTATATCCCGTGTCTCAGGCAAGGGTCTACTGGATAGCCTTACCGACGAGTCCGCTAGCGTTAGCAGACCCCGGACGAGAAACGTATCATTCCTATCCTTTTCCTCCCTCGGTCTGAAAAGTATCTCCGTATTCTTCACGCCTCAGGTACGAATAACTATCGATAATAGAAATTATTTTTGGTTACAAATCATTATTTTGGGATATGCGAATGGATCGTGCGAATCTCTTACCGAGTGGCACGAATGGCGTAGTAGAATATCGAATGACTGTTGGTGCGACTGATGAGTGATCAAAATGTGGATCGTACGAATGCTGTTATTAAATAATCGATAATAAGCGAAGAACGATCGATTTCGGGAAACGCTTTGAGAACCTTCGTTCGTTTAGCAATACCCAGTATACATAAATGAGTATAAAAGGAATATCGAATGATGCAAGAGTCAGTGTTAGAATGAGAGTACGAGTACAAATGTGTCAAGACAATTCTGCGTAAGCGCTGGTAGAGTAGCAATCTGTACTTCCATAATAAATTTCGTTATCGTTTGAATAAGTTGTTGCTTCTTTGTCAATGCCAATCCTAAATTATAGACAGGAAAAATTGTTCTTACAGGGAAATATATCCACAATCCGCAAACACGGAATTTGATGAAATTTGTACGAGAAATAGTCCTCTAAAAAATATTTGACTCGTACTTTTTGTATAACCTATTGTCCGCAACAAATTGACGCATACAGCCATCGAAGTTAGGGGTGAAAAACAAATTTTTTGGAATATCTTGGGAACCACTGTCAAACCCCTCTCCCTCCCTCCCTCAAAATATATCTTATTAAATGGGCAATGCGGCTACGTAGAAAATTTCTAAGAAAAATTAATTCGTTTAAATCACGTATTAAAAATTCGAATTTTTTTACTCGTTCGTCATACTGTTACGTCCAATCAACTGTATCTTTGCAACTGTTACGAAAGCATCATGCGCCAACTTAATATTACGTGATTAGTATTATATTTTTACGGATCGCGAATTTAAGTTAAAACAGACTATTTATTTGTAATTAAACAGTATAACGGTTAAATATGAAATGTTAGCAGAGTACTGTTTCGAACACGCGTTTTATAATATTTATAAGATGTTTAGACGATGGATGTGAAATGTGTACTGAGTTCCTCTTACATTTTTAAAAATTCACAACAATTTACAGTTGGTTACAGTTGGCACGGTAAGGGCGGAGTCAGAAATATACTTTTACACGATTGATTTAAAATTAGAAAAACTCTACTTTGGTCGGAGGTAATAGTGGCATTTCAAATTGTATTTACTTGAAGAGGTACGAAAGACCCTCGGTTAATATGAAAAGTATGGAGTTTATAGTTCCCAATATCCTTACGTTACCATCTACATTACAAGTTATAAAATTGAGTTTTCTCGTGCAACAAAGACAGTATGACACTATAAAGAATGAAAGTTCTATAATCCTTGTTGGAATTACCTGTGGGAATTTCACATAATAAAATCTTTAGTATTTTCGAAACTAAAAGTATTAAATATTAAAATAAGATTTTGTACTATAAAACACGAGTTAACCATATGCTAAATCTACGGAAATCTTATATTACGATCTTTGGCACAAAATACATGCTAATCTCAATTCGTTTTTGCTAGTTTTTATTTTAAGCATTTGAGTCGTATGTGGGAACGAGAGAGAGAGAGGAGGGGCTAAACTGATAGGAGCGAAGAAGAAGCACGTCGTGTACAGGGATTGTAAGAAAAGAAATATGTGCTAGGAGCAACGTATGAGCGATATTAGAGTGAGAGCGTGCGAATCTTTTTTTCTTTTATATTTTATACGATAAAGACACGAAATGTTAAATTAAGTAATCTAATAGTAGTATTCTGGAGACAGCAATCCACTTTTGCGTAAATCAATATTAAGTAATTTGTAGATGAAAATAGGGGACACGTGTTTCTGAAATTTGTAATTTTAATTCGCAAATAATAATTATTACATGAATAAATTTCAACCGTTCGTGCGACGCGAAGCACACCCGGATCATATTCTAGGAGCATGGTAACTTTTCCAATATTTTATCTAATTCTTACTAGTATTATAGGACATACTGTTGGCATTCATGAGCGATGCAGCATGCAAATTTGGGACGCGGTATCTATCACAACTGTATGGACATCAGCTTTTATAATCTATGTACGTATATCGTCTTTGAATAACATATAATTGTAAGTTTTACGTTTTTATCAAAATATTTATGATAGACGATCATGAATACAAGAGGTTCAAAAGAAAGATTCCAAGTTGTCGGTTTATGATCCGTGAATGTGAGTTTCGCGTTACATATATTCGTTGTAAAAAAGAAATTTTTTACTACATTTGCATTTACAAAGTAATCTTTCATCGATATTAGTAATGATTTTGTATCGACAATCATTAACTAAAGTCCTTCTAAACAAATTTTTCTATTTCTATTCAACTTATCTTCGAAGACACTCATTTACGATATCGAATATTCGTAAATACAAAAGTCGGTCATATACCGAAAGGATTGATCGTTGGATCTATGTCTATTAGATATCTTTCATTTCCCTTATCGAGTTCTATACGCTCTTAAATTTTCGATTCCCTTTATTTTTCCAACTTATACATCGATTTATCATCGAACACTTTTTTATGTGTGTGCATTTAACATTTTGTATATTTAATAGTAACAAAATATAATATTAACAACTAAGACTAAAAGTTATCGCTTTATCGCACTTTCAATTATTTTCCATATCTTACCGACAGATTCGAAAGTTTATCGTCTTTACCTAAAGTATCGAGAATCAGATACCTGAGAAATATTCAGAAGTATTCAGAGTAAGGACCCGTATTCGTTTCTCTTAAAATTAACAGTTTATTATTAACAATTGTCATTAATAAACCAAAGAGCTATTCTTCATAGATTTGCTCAACCAACTAGAAATAAAAATGCACCACCACGACATGTGCGGCATTCCAACAATCCCAATCCTTCTGATTATCTAATATACATGTTCCACGATGAAACGGTACAAGTTAACAAACATCATTCGTATACAAGAATCGTAGAATCACATTAACCATACACTGACCGCGAAAGAAATTAAGAAAAGTTTTAACTAAAGTTTCAGTTTTAATCGCATCATCTGTGATCAATCATGAGACATTGTACACAACATCTAACTCGAATACGTCTTGCAGAAAACTATTAGAATTAAACTAATAAATACTATAATTGAAATTTCGTGATATATATGCATTATGCGATATGTATGTATAAACATATGTATGTATGTATAAATTTTTCTACTTACATAATCTTACGAGTACCACTTACCTGAGATCATGTGACAATGTTCATAAATCTAAATAAATGTACAAGGTTAACTACACAAGGTCTGATTAAAACGTTCGTCGAATGAAAAATTAAAAGAACATATATGGAATAAACAACGGAACTGATTTAATTTCTCTTAAAATATTGTCCATTATCAAATATATACAGAGTGCAGCATTTTTTCTATATATAATTTAAAATAGTCTGGATATTTTGTATCGTTAATGATCTCAGTTATATCCTGGAACCGCCTTTTTATATCAGTGATCAAGTGAAATGTATTGAAACTGGCTTTCTCTTTTAGACTACTTCACTCTTGGCTAATAATGTTTTGGGATAACTAACAGTCGGAAAGATATGAAATTGCTAAATGAAATGAACGCGATGTAATCGTAATTGGAAAATTTTACAAAAGTTTGAAATGAAAAATAACGGAGGAAATATTACAGATTGATTTCTCATTTGCACGATAAAGAATAGAAATACGTGATTTTAATCGATACCTCATTTCATTTCTTATTCGCTAATCGAGTAAAGTCATTGAAAGTGATTGAAAGAAAAGAAGAGATTGCTAGAATTACGACCAACGTGATATTTTCGTTCTTAAATCAATATTTATGCGTGTATTTGTGCGTGTAGCAATATTTATATATCGCTATTTGCATAAATAGCATACATGCATCGAATTTATTACATCAGACTTTGTAAAACATAGAATATCACTGAGAACAGATAATGAAAAGCAATGAAAACTTTTTGTTGTATTTAATAGCCATAAAATATAGCGTGTATATTACTTTATTGAATTTTTATAATAACATTGTAATGCGCCGCAGATTGTGTTACAGAGGTAGATATTCGATAATACGATGATAACTTAGACAACCGATGTATTAACATGAGAATGTGGAAGTTGGACGGAAAGATGCGAAGCGGGTAGTGATAACAAATGTCCGCGTTCCATTTCATTTAATTCCTGTTGTTCGGCCCCACCCATTGAACCAGTGGAACGTACAAGGCTGTTACGTTGTCTGCACAAGTATGGTGTTTCCTCTGGTGAAGGAGTTTCACGACCCTGTATAAACATATTATACATACGTTTTTATTTTTATATTTGTTATATTATGTTATAATTATACATGGGATTTTTTAATACAGTAATTGTATACAATTGTGTGTGTGTGTGTGTGTGTGTGTGTGTGTGTGTGTGTGTGTGTGTGTGTGTGTGTGTGTGTGTAAAGAGGTAAAGAGGTAATGATATTTACAAAAAGATTAAAAGAGTATTAAAAAGATAATTGAACTATGAAAATTCAAATAAAAACTCATTTCAACCGAAATGACCAATTTTACAACGATGAAATTTCTATGAACTTTTCTGTCGATAAAAGTTTATATTGCACAAGAAATCGTATTTATATAATTCAGTAGAAAATTAATTACAATTAATTATGATTAATCCAGATAAGAATTTAATTTATCGATGATTAACGCCATCGAGCAAATTTACGGTTAATTTAATTCGTCAGTTAACAGTCGGAATAAAGGTATGGAAAAATGGCAAATATTAAAAAAAACACACTCATCTTCAATATCAAACATAATTTTACTGTCTCGAGGAGCTGCTCTACCTACCTACCTCTTTGTATAGTTGGTAAAAAGTCTGTCTAAAAGTTGGAAAGAAATACAGCTTTGCTTGATCGAAGCATAATAGCTTTCCTTATATAACCATAATAAGAGAAAATACGTGAATTTTTGTCAATGGCCAAAAGTGTGATAAATCGAACGAATAACATGGTGTAGCGAAGAAAGCGAACAGAATGGATCTGGATCGAATGAATATGATAATAACGAATGATAGAAGGCAAGAAGAGACATAGATATAGATTCCAAGCGTGAACCATTTATTTAAGATAAAAATCGCAACGACGTATAGCTGATTCGAATGATATAACACCAACATAAATAACCATATTAAGTGGCAGTCGCAGCTGATACCAAAATGTCATCGTTAATGTTGTCGTCATTCGGAACGATATATAGTTTGTAGCTATAAGAATACTTTACGATAAACGATAAAACGAAGAAAGTTGTTGATTTTACTTTCAATTATAACTTAGGCATTAAAGAAGGCGAGGTTAGGTTGACTTAATCAAAAGCTTATGTTTCCGAGCTATTAACTATGTAAAATGTATTAGTACTGCTATATCGCATTCTACCTATACGTATACGTAACATATACGTACATATATATCTGCATGCACAAAAGCATCCAACCGACAAAGCATCCTCCGCTTCATTTCTGGCTGAGTTTTTGGTTGTCAGTTGTCTCTAAGAAGCATCGTACACATTTCGACAACGATTTCGGATTTTGAATTTCGACTCGTGTGTCCAGCAACCTGACGACGATTGAATTATTAATTGAACCATACCTATTATAAATTGACGTGATAACTAATTAGAGACTGATCTAAAGATCAATAGGCGGGCCAGTACGTAAACAGATGGGCGAGGAGCGAGCGAAACAGCAAACAAATGGACGACTGTATCTCTTTATTCACGAATCATGGTACTTGGTATGAAGATGATTCGTAAAGAGTTTCAAGTCGACGGATATCAAGAATCCATACCGCACGGTAATTGCTTAATTAAAGCTCCGAAATTTTTCCGATTGCGCGTACACGTTTGAAACAGTTTTCTACCCTTGTAATATTTCATATTTTGTTGAGCATTGAAGTACTGTTTCGACGGCGTAGTTAGACACGCAGGAAAGAATAGCATTCCAGGAACTTCTCGCGCTCGCGCTCGTATCATCCAACGTAAATATCGCTCGATCCATTCGTCGATACTACGTGATACTTTGCCCTACCATTTTGTCCGGACAAAGGACAAAGCAGTATGGGATCAACTCTCGTAAAGCACACAACGAATCAAGTCCTCTTGGAACAGTCCGCTTCTAATCGTCGCCAATTAAGATCAACCTAGTGACGATACGCATATTTATTTTATTCCTTAAGTTACATTTCCCTAGTTTAATTTCAACGATACTCACAAGGTCGATACTTGTCAAGAAATTTTTTTACGTGTTCCTTTATAAAAGAAAAAGTCGTTAGAAATTGCCGAAAGGACCTTTTAACGCTACAGAGAATATAATGACGCTAGTTATAAAGATTTTTTTAATGGAAGATAAACGAAACATAGTTAACATGTTAGGACACCGAGTTTTGATAATGAAAATAATTACAATTTTTCCTTGCTCTATTTCAGTGGTATTATTTTACGTATTATTATTGCGTCATTTTTTGCGCAAAAATGGTGAAGAATGGTAACCATTCAAGGGTTGCGTTTTTTGCATTTTATGAGATTACTCCTAAAGCGAAGAGATTAGAAAGGAGAGATGGCCGCAAAAACGACGGGAGAAGCGGGAGAAAGAGGAAGGTGGAACAAAGACAGATAGATAGATAGACGAGGAAGTTGGAACGCGCTACGTGGAAAAAGAGTACAAAAATATCGGGCGACAAATTAAAGGAGTGTGAAACGAAAGAGATTGAACTCGAGAATAAACTAGGAAAGTTGCGAAAGGAGATAGTAAAAGGAAGGAAAACATGGAGAGAAAAGGGAGAAAAAGAGAGAGCAGCATGGGAAAAGGGAAAGCAAGAACTGGAAGAAAGGATACATAATTTGGAATGGATGAAGGAGAAAAGGGAAAAGGAGAAAAGAAAAAGGAGCATAGTAGTAATCAAAGAGACAGAACAAAAAGAAGAAATAAAGAAAGTGCAGGAGTTTAATAGAGAAAACATAAAAGTAGAAGTAAAAGTGGAGGAAGCGGGAGAGATGGATAAAGGAAAAGTAATTGTGTTAGCTAAAGTAAAAAGTTGGGAAAATAAAAGAGAAATAATGAAATTTAAGAAGAATCTGAAAAATATAAAAATATATAAATATAAAATATATATAATTACTTATAATATATTTATATTTACGACTTAACGCGGGAGGAAAGAGAAGTTGAAATAGAGCTGAGGGGTTAAAATAGGTAATAGGGGAGAAAAGAACTGAAGGAAGGAGGATAGATGATAAATAGCATGATTGAAAACGGTATGAAAAGGGGATAGCTTAGGAAAAGAAGTGGCGGGGAGAGGAGTTAAGAGAGGAAACGAGAAAGATAAAAAAAGACAAGATATGCAAAGAATAGTGCTTAAACAATAGGAAGGAATATAAAGAAAATGGTATATGAAGAAAAGGGAAAGACAAGAAAGAGAGGAGAAGGAGAGGGTCCGGATCACGAACTAAAACAAAACCAAACACACACGAACTAAAGTCAATTTCTCGATGTCGTTAAAAATTTACAGAATTTTAATCGTATATTCTTATAAGTATAAAGTAAATTATCGCATATATGAGAATTGCTATAAGTTACTTTCAAGTTTTTTATGAAGCTTTGAAAATAGGAAAAAATGCCTGTTATAGAGTGATTGCATTTTCTACTGAAATTGACATACCTTGCTACATTATATCCTTTATAACGATAAAGATCAGCTTATACCTGTTGATATAGCATCGAAGTGTAGTCTCTTAGCTATATGCGTGTGAAAAATATTAGTGAAATATTTATATTTCAACACTGATATAGCAATAGTTAGATCTACAAAATGGTAATCACGCGAGAACACGATAAATCTTAGATGAATGTATTGTATTTCCTCGAAGCTATTGAAGATGGCTGAACAAACATTTTTTGCAATACCTTGCACCCCCGATAGTTATAACGATATATTTGTAGTCAGACTATCAAAGACTTGCAGCAACCGCATCTTATTTGACAATTCCGAATATAATTATTACATATATTACACTTTTCGCTATTTATCATGGGCATACATTACTATGCATAGGCATAACTCGCTTTTTCGATTTAAATAAATAAAATAATGAACTTGACCTTCGAAAGGGTTTATAAGTCAGATGTGATGCGATCGAATGATTCACACTGTCGTAGAGATAGGATTGCGATCTGTTTTACATCGCAGATTCGTTCCGTTCGTTTTCTATGAAGTCATCTGTAGTCAATAGCTTATGCTGTTTCAATACAAAATATGGAATATTTAATTATTATTATTAAATAACATTAAATGTTATTATTAAATTATTATTAAAAGTACCGACTGCACGAGATTCCTGATTTGAATGTAATTTCGAGTCTTAATAATAAACGCAAGTTATTATTAATACGAATGGATATTCATACGGATTCTCATTTTTTGTTGCAATTTTAATTTCTTTGCCTTTAAGATGATGCGAAGATTATGGTATGGTAGATCCTTGAATTCAACTAGATATAGGCTATAATAATTATCTTAGGTCAAAAACATAAAGTGCTATTTGAAAAAACGAATTTGACCTTCCAAATTTCGAGAAAAAGATATATTTCTTATCAATTTCTCTTCCGGAATTATATACAACACAGGAAACACGATAACTTTTGTTAAAAATATTTTTCTGTTAGATTATCGCAAGTACTTGAAAAATCGTACCTAACGATATGTGGGACACCCTGTATATTGTATATGTACATATATACACAAAAAGATGCTAATTCCTCTTTACCGAGGGCTTTCATTTCAATCGCAACGATATGTAACATGATTAAGGTATGGCTATAGAAAGAATTTATGGAAATACTTGTCGATACAGGAGAAAATATTAATTCTTCTTCTACAGTAAAAGTATAGAAACCGTCTGATAGATTAATATATAATCGCTAAAATTTCAAAACTTTAATTAACATGTTGCACGGGTTCTTGATGTTCAGTTGATATGATATTTTGTAGGAATTAATTTTTTCATCAGACATGAAAAATGAAAAATGAAAAATGAAAAATGAAAAATGAAAAATTTCATTTTACACATGAAAAAAACTGACAAAAATTTCTACTCCTGTAACTGTGGACCACCATAGTGTACGCATTTTGCACACATATTTGTACATAAACAAACTTCAGTCTATACAATAATGGTATAGGTACAACAATGGTTTTCCGTTAATATCTTGGAAAGTATGAGTATGCGACACATCCATGTCGCATCGGGCCGGTACCACTGTGATCCTGGAGACATAAGTGTAACACACAATACATAGTTACTACACATATTTATGAGATTATCATAAAAAGATCTCTCGTACGGCATTTAGACGACGATACTCTGACTCCACTAGCGACCGGAAAAACCTGTATAAATCAATATAAAGTAGTGGTCAATAACTTTGATTACCTTAAATAGGCTCTATCATTTTTATAAGTATAGACATATAGCGTGCGTTTGTCTTATGAAGTTATTCCAGTATTGACACATTTCAATTTTATGAAAACTACGATACAAGAAAATTTTCGCAAGTAAAAGAATTTAATTTTTATGAAAATTTGTGTGTATGTAAATTATAATGTTCTATATAAAAGAAATTTTCTTTTATGGACAGGAAATTTTTTCAGGGGCTCCTTTAAATGCAAACTTTAACATTTTCAGCATTCTTTTGTCGTCTGATTATAATTCTTTTTCGAAATTTTTCTTCGCAATAGAATTATGGAATACTGAAAATGAAAACTTTTTTTAAACGCCAAGTTTTATTATATCTAGCGTTATTAAAAAAATATATTTAAGAGAATGAAGGAAAGCACTGAAAATTTATTAGTTAATTTCATCTGACTGACGAGGAAAGAAGGGAGGAAAGAAGGGAGGAAAGAAGGGAGGAAAGAGGGAAAAAAATGTAAAAGGAAAAAAAAGAAATAAGATATCAGTAACTTAACGATTCAAATGGCCTACTCTTCAAGCATTTATCGTGACGCGTTTATCTATTATTAGAATAACCACGCATTAAAGATTGTTGAAGATGTCTAAGTATTTCTCATTATTTTATTAAAAATGAAAAACTTTAAGAAAAATCGACCACCCGGTACGTAAGTACATACACGTATACGATATATATATATATATATATATACGATGAAAATATTTTATGTAAGCGATTATGCGATTATGTATAGCGTATAAAATAATATGTCACGACTACCATGGATTATTCGGATTATTTGGTGAAACCTTTGATGAAAAACTATAGAAAAAAAAAATGGTCGCAAAATGGACTTTCACAAAACGAATTTTCAAAGCGAAATTTTGTCTTCGTTACAAGATATTCTACCTATCATAAAATTAAAAAGGCTGTAAGAAGTTATGGACTGTAATTCATTAGCAATACCATTCATCGTTCGTAATGATATTTCCATTATGATTTGTAGGCGTGTCCGTCGTGCTTGACCGTCTTCCACGTACTATAAATTCATATATTTTGCATTTACGAGTTTATTTAAAACGCTGTGTAACAGCGTCTACGCTGAGAGATTAGAACTTAGAACTTGGAAGGTAGAAAATTTCACAATCTTGCACGACCATTGCAAGAACCGTTTAGAGTTTCATTGCCGCTTATCGTTGTATATCACCGCTCTGTTAACTAGAGAGAAACTCGGCACTCGGGTGGGAAATACTCGAGTACCTGGGTGCATATGAGATTCTCGGCTAGAAAACATTTCCCGGATACCGAAGTATCTACGTGATACCTGGATAGAAAATATTTATCAAATATTTGACAAATAGATTTGATCGGATATACCGCGTATCGTATATGTAATATATCATCTAAGCATCGTGTTTATTTACGGAATGCGAACAATCTCCGATGTCGATAACGACAACATCGTGGTTACTTTGATGCTACTCAGGATATATTTTCTACCCGGCAATCATAGATATCCAATTGAATCGGCTATCTACCTCTACTCTCGGCAATAAAATACGCGTTGAGAAAGGATGATCGCGAGATTTTAAAAGGATGCTAATTACCTGTCCTCCATGAAAAGCAATCGACACGTTTGAAAACTGTGCACGAAACAGTGCGTGAAAAACAATCACTCGCATCTTTTATGCGAAATTCTATTTGAAGCCTCTGACGATTAGTCAATTGAAAAAAATGTTTCATTTTTAATTACTAAATGATCATTTAAGAGCTTATTGTAATCGAATCAGTTATCTATTATTAATTTATCTGGCAACCAGTTGTTAGATATACACGCGCAAGTTTAGTTATCATTCGAACTTGGAATTCCAAGAATTTATAGCAATAATATATAGGTAACGAAAATTCTCAAGAAAGGTAAAAATGCACGCAAATAGAACGGTTGTTTCAAAGATAAACTAAGACAATGTGCTTTAACGAGTTGAATAAGAAATGCTATATTTTGTATTATGGTCACGCCCACCAGCTAAATAAATTGACAGATATAGTACAACTAAAATGTCAAGATTTACCGAATTGAAAAAGAAAAGCAGGACGATGCTGCATCGCGTTTACTACATTCACCATATTCTCATTCGACCATTTATTCCGAACATTTTCATACTTTATAACGAGTAAAAAATTAGATAACATTTTCATTTTATCGTACTCAAAAAATAGGAGAATATTTTGGGGAAAAATAGATAATTATATTTTTTCCAATGTTTAATGGTAAACCTATAATATTAATTTACAATATTCGTTATCGTAAAAATTAATGTAAAATTGTTCTCTTATAACCAAGTAAAGAAAAAGAAAGAGTTTTTTCTATCATTCTATCGAGTTTAGTTACTTAAATATCAAGAAATTCGATTATATTTATAAGTACTATGACTAGATTTATAAATACTTTTATACTTTACGTCGTATTGCACTTTCCAAATTGACTCCTGCCGATTCAAAGAAGAATCGATACAGTAATTTATCATGAACGTAACGGAATATTATTTGATTGCGTAATATGCATTTATAAGGTACAGCAGCGGAGAAATGAAGGATAAACAACAAGGGTAAATATCAGTTACCTATAACTGTATTTGAATCTGATTTAATAGCTTCTAAGCATCTTCCAAGACATTTTGATTTAGGGCAGCTTGAACGTGCATTTGTATCACTCTTCCAATCATACTGTAGAAGCGAAGGGGCAAATTTTAAGTGAATCAAAGGTATATTCGTTGAAATAGAAAATACATACTTGTTTAGAAGGGCCACAGCATGTTGCATGATTGCAAGGCTTGTCAGTCTTTGGACAATCCAATACACAATCTTCCGTTGTTGTTTCCTTAACGTCACTGTTAGAGCGATACTAGAATATTAATAATAGGGAATTAGCTTCATAATATACCATTATGAATCATATATTTTATAACGCAATTCAATTATTCGTATATTTTCTTCATAGTCCTCCGCGAATAATTATAAACAACATTTCTTTTCACCTACTCGTTTAATTATGTTAACATTCGATCGTTACATTGTCCAACGTGTTTATATTATTATTGATTATTATAAGATAGGAAAAGCAGTATAAAACTGATAACTCGATTCATGTACGGCAAAATTAAGAACAAAGTTAAGAACTACTTTCTTTATGTTTAATACGTACAGATTACCACTATTTTTCGTTGATTAAAGGTTACACAAACTAACTTTAATTCGCGTTAGTTCGTTAAATGAGAGGAAGATTTCGTTTTCGTTCACGATCGTTGAATCGTGTCATATAAAGTGAAATTTAAGAAACAAGAATGATTTTTTATTCGAAATATCTGATTAAAGAAGCACCAAAAATTTGTTAACTCCCAGCCTTATAAGGGGAGTGGAAACAAGTGATTTCCAAATTCAATTTTATAGTTCAATTTTATAATCAGACGTTTAATGATTTCTCTAATGAAATCACAGATTGATAATTGTCTCAGTGTCATTCGGTAAGTTCGGTTTAGTTTGGCTTGGTGGTTGCCAGAATTCTTCACTGCCCTTTGTGACAAGGGATCATTAATCAAAGCATTAAACAAGACATCAATTGTACCGTAGAAAGTTCTCACATTCGGATCTGTGACAAATTTTCTATGAAAAATTCGTTATTTCACTGTCTACGTTACCGTCTACCTTAAATTTACTACTAGAAAAACATATTAAGAAAACAAGAAAGCATACTTACATACACAGTGACTTTTGTCAATATTCAGACATCAGATTTTTTACCTTTTGGCTACCTATATATAACGTTAAATAATAGTGTATTGCATATATTACAATAAGTGTGTAAACAGAAAAAATAATTTGATATTTATTCATTTATTTACTAATTTCGTTAATTTAATAGGTAGAAAGTAGAAAGTAAAGAATCTGTTGATTTATTGCCTAAGCATCGCAAAACAAATCAGAAAAAGATACATTTCTAATTTGCAAAGATGTTCAGATATATTGCAAATTTAAATTATTAAACGAAGACAACGAGTTTGGCATAGTTTTTCTCATCATTCTTATGCAAAAAATAAGACCATACAATAGATAGAAAAAATGTACATAGCAAAGAGAAAGGAAGAATTCGTTTAAAGTAAGAATAAAACGTATAGTCGAAACAAGAGCGTGTTAGTAACTCGGTACTTAACTTTTACAAGAAATTACTATTTCAGCTCTTTTAACATATATTTATTACATGTTCGAATATTTTTGCGACTTTTTTTTTTTCTTTTTTTCTTGTGAAATTTTTAGATAACTTAATTTCTTATTTATTATATAAAAAACTATTTGCAAGAAATAAAATAAAAATAAAATGTATGTGTCTACTATCTGTGATAGATATTTTACTATATTAGAAAATAGATAATTCGATAATAAAATTATATACGATAAAAAACAGTAATGTTTTACTGTCGAATAACATGGTGTCCGAATATTAATAAGATATTAATGTACATATGATGCTTATATGAAATCATAAAAAATTAGATTTAATATCGTTTTAATATTTCGTAGGTCCTCCCTCAACATCAGCAGTAATAGCTTGCAATCATCGGGGCATTAACAATATTAGGGATTTTGTAATATCTACAGTATAACCTCGTGTATATAAACTTTTGGGAGTTGGAAGTTCAGATAATAAAAGTTCTAACGTTCAGTTACCGGGATTCATTGGATACCTGTACCATTTATTCGCACTTTATTTCTGTAGCTCGGCTAATAGAAATGTTCGTAAACAATGGTCGATTTGTTTGCATTCATTTATTTGGCAGAAGTTGTTTATTTCCTTTAATGAATTAAAATCAAATATTCAACTGATTGATGATATCTTAATAATTTAAAAAAAAATAATTTTAAAAAAAAATTGCAAACTCGCAATTTTCTAATAATCTTTCATCGATTTTATGTCTCTAACATAATTCTATTTTCAATTCTATTACCCAATTCAGTCCAAATATATTCAATCGAGTTTAGATTTGATGATCGAGATGGTGTATGTAATTGATGTAATTGATGTAGTACGTTATACGACACTCTGTAATACACGACTTTGTAATACAGGCCGTATATTTGGGGTCATTGCCGTCCTCGAATATTCATTGACTTCCGAAATCCAAACTGATGAAATTATTTTTTAATATTTTTTAATATATTTAAATATATTGCAACCTGCCCATAGTAATATTAATGAACGACAGATTTTTTACTCTTGGCAGTGCTATATTGTACCCGAATCGTAGCGTATTCACCGCTGCGCTGTGTTTAACAATTGTGAATTAAACTTTTAAATCCATTCTCGTGTTTGATTTTCGTCGAATTTTTATCCTTCCATAGCATTTGAAAATGTTAAACTTATTCTCATCTTTGACACTTTTCCATGAAAACTAACCTCGCACCATTTTCAAATAACTTTTACCGCTTGTTTGCGCGATTTCTTCTTTTAAATTTGGTCGCTTATTTTTGACACTTGTCCCTCAGAGGACCAAATCTGGGCTTATTATAAGCTTCTTTTCTCGTATCTCATCATTTGCACCGTTATTTCCATCGATTCCCGGTCTGGCATTCACTCCCTTTGAACTTTCGTAATCAAATTACCAATGCCTCAAAAAAACTGTTTTCTCGGCGATATGGTATAATATAATATAATAAATATAACAAACTACAATGATGCGATGTATTAGAATGGTATAACTGTTCTAATGAACACTCTTTGTCCCGAAAGAAGGCGAGCATTCGAATTTCATATTCAGACTTTCCAATATGTTCCTTTGTAGCACACGTGATTTGTGATAATTAATTAATATTTATTGAAATACATCACAATTTATCGAAAACTCGAGTAAGATTATTCGATAGCATGAACTTCGGTAGTAAAATATCATTACTTCGATGTTATTCCAATTGGACAAAAAAAGAATTTAAACAATTTGAGGTGAGTTGAGTTCGCGAAGAAAATAAAAAAACTAGTATACAAACCCGGAATTGTAGACTAGAGAAAAATTTCTTTCTAATTAGTTTTTCCACTACGTAAAATTTTAAACGTCTTTTTTTCCAAACAAAATTTTTCGAACTGGTCCAGTTTTTAAATTAGAAAATATACTCTTTGTGTGTAGAAACTCTGTGATATGCTGAATTTTTTCAAATTTTTTCGTTTCTAAGAGATGCAGAATGGTGAAAAATTGTGCTTTACTTTAAAGGAATTAAAATAATGACTAAGAAAATTATTAGAAACAAATTTTTTCTTTCACATTCATAGATCCATTGTTTTGAAAATTGCGTACACTTTAAAAACGGAAAAGAATATTTTTCGAGAAAAACTATGAAAAGAAAGATGGCACGTACGCTCATAATGTTATATTTGCATTAAAAATGGCATTTTTTATATTTTAAGATTTATTATATTACGAAATGTCGAAGGTCAGAGATCCTTTTGTTTAATTTAGTATTGTAGGCCATAGGAATTCAAAAATCCCGGCTATAACGCGTCAGCAACCAATAACAAAAAACGTTAGGAGTATCGTTAGGCTGTAGGCGCTGCGTGTCTCGTGCGAGAGTCGCGATTTAACCGTATTACTGAATAGTGCGTAGGAGGAGAGAAATACTGTACTTATATTTTGTACCGTCTCATATTATTAAATATGATAATAAAATTATGAAATATATATGAAATATATATATATATATATATATATCTGTTCGTTTTTTACTGTATTTATAAAAACACGTGTCCGTCAATTCAATCCAACAAGTATTAAGAAGATCATAAAAAATAACCTGTTCTAATTCTCCTACACTGGAACATCTCCGTAAGTTTGATAGTTGTAAACATATTGTACAAGTTGTTCTGTAAAATGTACAAGTTGTTCTGTCAACTGTACAAGTTTATTAAAAAAAAAAACCGACAGTACGAATTTTAATAATGTAAAAATACATTTGTAGAATAAGTGTCTCTCGGCCTAAACAAGGCTGATCTTGAGACAGCGACATATTGTAGATTTATGATAGTCCCGAAACATTTGGGAAAGTCGCAGATGTGTTTGGCAGATGTGTTTCGCAGATGTCGCGTCCAACCCCCGAACAATCATTAATGACTAAATTGCCATCCATCTGGACATCTCGTTTCTCGATATCTGGCAAGTTCAATGTCAGTGGACCTTAACTACAAGAATCGCAACATAATAAAGTCATCCTAATTAAAGAGAGATGGGAAGAGAGAGAGAGAGAGAGAGAGAGAGAGAGAGAGAGAGAGAGAGAGAGAGGGGTGGGGGGGAGTGAATAGGGTTAGAAGGGGTTGTAGAAGACAATTGGGTGCTTCTTCTTTGTTTAGTCGTGAGTGATTCCTGCGTGCTTAGTGCACGAGATAAGAATATTAACGTTAACAGAAAAGCTATAAATTTGAACGCTATTTTCAAAAATTCAATAAATAGACTAGAAGTACACATAATTACTATAACATGTAACTTTATGTATTTTTTACTACAGCTGGGTTATTATTGTACGTGCATATGTAAATTGTGAGGTGACTCGAAAAATAAAGATTCAGCGATGACAGGTCCGGATATTGCGACAACTAAGGTTACATATTTTTCCTTCGTAGTCAATATCGAATATTGACAGCTTCTGATTAAAAAATCTCATTTCGCGACTGTCGCGAATATCTTTCAATAATTGTAGTATGATATGTCTAAAAGCATGAAGCTCGACAAAGTCCTGTCCTGAAGTCATTTCAACGGTATTTAAATTCCTTAAGAATGTCTTTGTCATATTATATATGACAACACGTAATTCCTGGGGTTTGCGTTTTGTCACGGGTGGAATAATGGAGGGAAAATATCTTTTGAT